TGTTCGCTAACACCACCGTTCAGATGCCTCAATTCTTTTTTTGGTCTTCCTTATTCGTTGTCCAGCTTTCATATGCATATGAGGCGATTGAAAATACCATGGCTTGGGTCAGGTGCACCTTACTCCTCAAAGTGGCATCTTTGCTTTGTAACACTTTGAAGAGGTCTTTGCAGCAGATTTGCGCAATGCAATATATGTCACTTGATTTCTTGACTGCTGCTTCCACGGGATCCAAGTAAAATGAAATCCTGGACAACTTCAATCTTTTCTCTGTTTATCATGATGTTGCTTATTGGTCCACTTGTGAGAATTTTTGTTTGCTTTATACTGAGTTGTAATCCATACTGAAGGCTGTAGTCTTTGATCTTCATCGGTAAGTGCTTCAAGTCCTCTTTGCTTTCAGCAAGCAAAGTGGGTTATCTGCATATCACAGGTTGTTAATGAGTCTTCTTTCGATCCTGATGCTGCATTTTTCTTCAAATAGTCCACCTTTCCCGATTTTAAACCACGCAGTAGTCCCTTGTTCTGTTTGAATGACTGCCTCTTGGTCTATGTACAGACTCTGCATGAGCACAATTAACCGTTCTGGAATTCCCATTCTTTGCAGTGTTATCTATATTTTTTTATGATCCACACAGTCGAATGCTTTTGTATAGTCAATAAAACACAGGTAAACATCTTTTAATATTCTCTGCTTTCAGCTAAGATCCATCTGACGTCAGCAATGATATCCCTCATTCCACGTTCTCTTCTGTATCCAGCTTGAATTTCTGACAGTTCCCTGTTGACGTACCTCTGCAACCAATATTGAATTATCTTCAGCAAAATTTTATTTGCATGTGGTGTTAATGATATTGTTTGATAATTTCTGCTTTTTATTAGATCACGTTTCTTTGGAATGGGCACAAATATGGATCTCTTCAAGTCAGTTGGCCAAGTACCTGTCTTCCAAATTTCTTGGGATAGATGAGTGAGTGCTTCTAGCATTGCATGCATTTGTTGAAACATCTCAGTTGGTTTTCTTATAGGTGCAAACCTCTATTTCTTGACTCCTCTTTCTTAGTTCACCTCAGTACCTCCTTGAAAAAGGGTGCCAAGTAGGTAGATTTTTTTTAGATCCTTTGTATTTGAAAATGCCTTTATTCTATTCTCATCCTTGATTAATCGTTTGGCTGGGCATAGAATTCTAGGTCGAAAAATTTTTTTTTTCTCAGTATCTACAAGGCAGTTGAGGTCCCTGGGTAACACAAACGGTTGCATTCAACTAGTAACCTAAAGGTTGGTGGTTCGACCCCACCCAGTGGTGCTGCAAAAGAAAGACCTGGATATCTGCTTCCGTAAAGATTACAGCCATGAAACCCTACGTAGCAGTTCTGCTTTGTAACACGTGGGGTTGCCATGAGTTGAAGACCACAACAGATTTGCTTTTTGGTTTGAGAAGACGTTTGTTCTATATTTTTAAGCTGTCAATGTTGTTGTTGAAAAATCTATTCTGACTCCTGACCCTTTGTATGGGTCCTGTTCATTTACCTTTCTCTGGAAGGTGTTAGAACCACCCCTTTGCCCTCACTGTGCTGATTTTTCATAGCAAGATGGCCTTAGTGTGGGATTTCTCCCCCCATCTATCTTGCTGGGAACTCAGAAGGCCCTTTTGAAATAGAAACTAGACTGAAAGCTAGAAAAAACTAGATTGAAATCTAGAACTTGCGGGAAATAATCTTTGTAATACTGTCTCTCTAATTTCCTCCCCGTTATTTCCTTTTTTCTCTCTTACTCATGTTGACTTTCCTGACCTGATTCTTCAATGTTTGCATTTTTCTCTCTTATTCCAGCTCTTTGTCTTCTTCTTCCTGGGGGGTTTCCCCAGCTTTATTTTCCAACCCTTTCATTGCATTTCAAATTTCACCTATTATATTTTTAATTTCCAAGAGCACTCTTTTTCATTCTCTCCTTGCTCCTTTTATAAGAGCTACCTGCTGTCTCATGGATTCAACATCTGATTTCTCTGAGGATATTAATTACAGTGTTTGGAAGTTTAGTTTTTCTCACATTGTCCTTGCATTGTCACTGTTCCAATGAGTTCATTTTAAAAATTTTTATTATTTTTTCTTTTCTCTTTGTAATCTTCCTCAAGAAACTGGTCATCCTTGGACTATTCGTTCATATTTCAGCGTAGGTCACTAAAAGCTGTCCAGACACTCTGTGTGAGTATGCGTGAGGATGGACTTTCAACTTAGTGGCTTCATTATAGAGTGATCACTTGAGGGCTCAGCCATTTTATTGGGATACTCCCAGCCAGCAGTATTTTCAGTGCTCTTTCTGGGGCAAATTAGTTTCCATCCTGGATGTGGAGAGGGCAGGAAGGGGACAGGGAAAGGGCATGAACCAAGTGGCAGAAGGGGGTAGGGTTTCCAAAGTTCAATATATAGACTTTCACTTAATTGCCCTGTTTTAGTATGGCACTACACCCTGCCCTCCTCTGCCTACTGTCCCCCCATTGGAGCCTCTCTGGTTCAATTCTCCAAGGTGAGGGAGGGGGAGCCACTGGGCTGCATAGGAAAGGGGAAGAGACTTGGCTGTCATTGCTTCTTATTGGTGGTTCAGTGGTAGAATTTTCATCTTCCACGAGGAAGACCTGGGTTCTATTCTGGTCAATGTACCTCATGCAAAGCCACCACCTGCTGTCAGTGGAGGCTTTCGTGTTGCTATGATCCTGAACAGATTTCAGCGGAGCTTCCAGAGTAAGACAGGAAGACCTGGCAATCTACTTCTGAAAAATCATCCAATGAAAACCTTATGGATCACAACTGTCCAATCCCCAACTGATCATGAGGATCAACAACCAATTATGGGGATGGCACAGGACCTGGCAGTGTTTCATTCCACTGTGCAAGGGGTTGCCATGAGTTGAGGGCAAACTCAGTGGCAGCTAACAACCACCACATACAGCCCTCAGCTCTGCCCTCCCTCCTACCTTCCAAAGCAACCAGCTTCCCAGTTCTTGCCCTTTGCGGTATTACGCAGCAAGCTTTACTCACCTCTTGTTGACTGCCGCTTCTGTAGGTGCTTATTTTCAGATTTCTCAGCTCTGCTAATTCCTCCAACTGCTTCCATCTTCCAAAAATCTGTTGACATCTGCTGCCTACTGACGTCACTTCTCCTCACTGTCCTTGTGTGATTATACTTCCTTTTATCCCTCTGCTCTCATTTCGGTGGGTCTGGGAGGGAAAAGACATATGTTGAATCGGCCATATAGAGCAGGATGTCTCTGCAGATCTTTCTGAAGGGACTGCTCTCCTGCTTTGCCTCATTGAAGGACTCCAATGCCTAGAGCTGGATCTTTGCTCATGGAGAACTTATGGCTTCTTTGTCATCGAGCTCAACTTCATTTAGAAAAGTAGTGGAAACTAGAGTAAATGTAGTCTGAGCCCAGCTATACCTAGAAATGTTTGCTTTTAAATAAATTCCAGGGAGGATCTTATTTTTGCGTGATTTGCTTTTTTCCTAAGACTAAGTGCAAAACAACTTCTGATTAACTAGGACCCCCTCTGGGCTGGGTCCTGGCTATCCAAGGCTTCAGAGAAGTCTGACCTTGGCTGGACTGAACTACATTTTCCCTACCTGGCATCTTTCATAAAAAGGTAGTAAGGCCAATGAGGGTGCACAGAAGTGGTCTAACTAATTCAAGAAAGCCAAACTGTACCCAAGGGCCTGAAATCTCCATTAACATCTCCCCAAGATCACGTGTGTCCTTTTAGGACTCCTACCTAACTTATTCATTAAAGCTAACACTTCTCCCCACTCCAACATATGCACACACAGAGCCTTTACTTGGCAGCATTAAAGATCTTCTTTGTTGCTCGGTACTGTTTAGTCGGTTCCGACTCATGGCCACCCCACAGACAACAGAAAGAAACATTGCCTGATCCTGTGACATCTTCATGATCCTTGATATGCTCAAGTCCATTGTTTCCACCCTGGGTAGCTCAAACGGTTAGGCGCTTGACTACTAGCTGAAGTGTTGGCAGTTCAAACCCACCCAGAGACTCCTCAGAAGACAGACTTGGCAATCTGCTTCCAAAAGGTCACAGCCTTGAAAACCCTATAGGGCAGTTCTACTCTGCACACTTGGGGTTGCCATGAGTCAGAATCGACTCATGGCAACTAAAAACAATCGTTGCAGTCACTGTGTATTTTAAGTGCCTTCTAACCTAGATGGCTTATCTTCCATCATTACATAAGACAATATTCCGTTGTGATCTGGAAGGTTTTCATTGGCTAATTTGACCCAAGCCATGGTATTTACAATTGCCTCATATGCATGCAAAACCTGGACAATAAATAACGAAGACTGGAGAAGAATTAATGCCTTTGAATTATGGTGTTGGTGAAGAATCTTGAATATACCAGGGATGCCAGAAAAGTGAACAAATCTGTCTTGGAAGAAGTACAGCCAGAATGCTTCTTAGAAGGGAGGATGGCAAGACTTTGTTTCATATACTTTGGACATGTTATTAGGAGGGACCAGTCCTTGAAGAAGGACATTATGCTTGGTAAAGTAGAGGGTCAGCGAAAGAGGGGAAGACCTTCAGTGAGATGGATTGACACAGTGGCTGCAATGACGTGCTCAAGCATAACAATGATTGTGAGGATGGACAGTGTTTTGTTCTGTTGTACATAGGGTCACTATGAGTCAGAACCTTGATGGCACCTAACAATAACAATTTTTGAAAGTAGATTGCCAGGTGTTTCTTCCTATTCTGTCTTAGTCTGGAAGCTCTGCTGAAACCTATTCACCATGGGTGACCCTACTAGTGTTTGAAACATTGGTAGCCCAGCTTCAAGTATCACAGCAACGTGCAAACCACCACAGTATGACAAACCGACAGACAGGTGGTGGATTAAAGATTACCTTACCTACTGTGTATAAAAGCGGGTGGGTTTTGTGGGGGAGGGGCCATACTAGTCTCATAGTGTCTTCTTTGTCCTTGCCTCCCCAGGTGCCCCCTTTCAAAGGTCTCAGCATCCTCACGCTACCTCCTGCCGCCACTTCCACCTGGGCCCCCCACAGCCGCAGCAGCTCGCCCCCGACTTTCCCCTGGCCCACCCCGTGCAGTCACAGCCGGGCCTCAGTGCCCACATGGCCCCGGCCCACCAGCACAGTGGCGCCCTGCACCAGTCGCTGACCCCGCTGCCCACCCTCCAGTTCCAGGACGTCACAGGTCCCTCCTTCCTACCTCAGGCCCTGCACCAGCAATACCTCCTGCAGCAGCAACTCTTGGAAGCCCAGCACCGCAGGCTGGTCTCGCACCCTAGGTCAGTGCTGCCGGGGTGGGGGTGGGAACAGCTGCAGAGCCTCAGGCTCTGAAGTCTAGCTCCTACGCCTCTAGTAAAAGTTATTGAGGACCCTAACTATAGGAGTTGGGGTACATGAGACAGAGGTGAATGTTGGAGGAGGTCAGAGGGAGGAGAAGTCACCATGAGCTGGAGTGTTCAGGGAGGCCTTCATGGAGGAGGTGGGCTTTGATCTGGGCCATGAATGCTTGGAAGAGTGAGAAGAGCGGTCAAGAGAGGAGAAGAGGGGGTGAGAGGGTGGCACAGAAGTGGGAAAACCTGCAGGAAGTGGGTCTATGTGTCTCGAAGACAGCCTTGCCAAAGACAGAGGGAGAGTAGGGGGAGAAGGGACAGAAGAGGTAAGAGAGTTTGGGTGGGTCCAGGTGAGACCTCAGTTTACCCAAGTGTCTGAGTTATCGGAGGACGACACAATGCTGGTAGGCCGGGGCCATGTGGGCGCTGAGGCCCAGTTGAAGCCCACTGCTCCATGGTTATGGGGCTCTGTGGGGGGGGGGGCTACAGGAGGGGCATCCTCAGGCCCTTTGGGGTTGCCCAGCACTCCTGGGAGCTGAGCTGGCCTCAGCAGCCCCTGACACCATGGGCCTTCTTCCCTCTGGTGCAGGCGAAGTCAGGAGCGTGCGTCTGTTCACCCCCACCGCCTCCACCCCAGCTTCGACTTCGGCCACCAACTGCAGACGCCTCAGCCCAGGTATTTGGCTGAGGGCACTGACTGGTGAGTCTTTCGGGCCTCTGGGGGAGGTTGGGAGGGAGGAAGCTCTTGCCTTATCCATCAAGTTCCTGTTTCCTTCACTTAGAACAATGCAGGAGGTCCAGTCCTCAGGCCCCAGCCTTTGTTCCTGTCCCCAGGGGGACCCATCTGGGCCTGGTTCCAGCAATGAGCTCAGATGTAACTGGGCACCATCTTGTGCCCAGCCTGGGGCTCAGTGTTCAGGGTCCTGCAGGGGAGGAGGGAGACAAGGATGCAAAACACTTCCCAAGGCTCCATGCTGTCCTTGGGGGGAGAGCAGAATGGAGAGTTCCGAGTAGCTAAGGTGGTCAAGGAAGTCTTCCTGGAGGAGGTGGGCCTTGAAGGAGCCACAGAGAAGTGCCAGGGCATGCCAGCAAGGCACTCAGAGTGGGCAGGTCCTGTAAACGCAGACTCATGGGAGAGAGGGTACATTACACCTGAAGCACTAGGGCAGAGCCTGATGGGCTAGGGACAGAAGCTGCAGAGAGAAGTTGAGGGTTTTGTTGTGTGTCTTCGCAGGCAACGTGGTCCCTCCGAAGTCTTCCCACAATCTCCTGCACTTAGGACAGAGGTCTTTTCTGGCCTAGGATGCAGTATTGCTTGGTTTTGGCTCCTTGGTCCTACCTAATTCTGGTTCTAGATCAGGAGAGGACTGATCTAAATTAGGGTCAGATCTGAACACTCAAATACTTTAAAAAGATGTGCAGTTCACTGAAGCATTTAGAGGTAAAGAGCATCATATCTGCAACTTATTTTTAAATGATTCAGAAAAAAACTTAGATAAATATAAATACGTATATAAATAAACATATAATGTATATTTATATCTAACTATATACATACATAATATCTATGTATATCAATCTATATATATACGCATATATACATAGAGAAGTGTGTGTGTGTGTGTGTGTGTGTGTGTGTGTGGAGAGAGAGAGAGAGAGAGAAGGATATAGAGAAGTATTAAAAAGCTAACATTTGGGGAACATGGGTGAAGGATAAGGAGCCCTGGTGGTGCGGTGGTTAGATACTCGGCTGCTAACCGAAAAGTCTGTGGGGGAAAGATGTGGCTTCTGGAAAGATTACAGCCTTGGAAACCCAATGGGGCAGTTTTACTCTGTCCTATAGGGTTGCTATGAATCGGAATCAACCCGAAGGCAATGGGTTTGGTTTTGGTTTGGGTGAAGCGTATCCAGGAGCTCTTTGTACTACTCTTGCAAATTTTATGTTAAGAAAAAAATTTTTTTAATGTTAAAAGGAAAAGAAAAATCGTGGAAAAATGGGCTATTTTGAAAAACCTGACATGCAGTTGTGCCCTTTTCTAGCTATTTAGTCAGGCCAACTGTCTTTATCAAGGGTTGCTTTGGAAGCCCTTATCATGGACACTCAGGAGTGATTCAAAACGGTAGCTCCGATTGATTGAACACTGTTATGGATTGAATTGTGTCTCCAAAAATTATGTACTGTAAATCCTAACCTCTATGCTTGTGGTTTTAATCCCATATGGGAATGGGTTGTCTTTGTTATGTTAATAAGATAGGATTAGTAGGGTATGTCTTGAGTCAATCTCTTTTGAGATATAAAAGAGATTAAACAAGCTAGCCAGAAGCAGAGTTGGGAGAACAGAGATGCCAAGCCACAAGAAAATCGCCCAGGAGTAGAAGCTCAAAAACGACAAACACTTTCCTCTAGAGGTGACAGAGAGAGAAAGCCTTCCCCTAGAGCTGGCACCCTGAATCAGGACTTCTAGCCTCCTCTACTGTGAGAAAATAAATTGCTGTTTTTTAAAGCTACCCATTTGTGGTATTTCTGCTATAGCAGCACTAGATAACTAAGACAAACACTAAGGATGCTTCTAGGTGCAGGAACAGTTGTTTTAAAGTGTGCCATTGTCTCCCACCCTCTGCTCATTCTCAGCTATACCTCCCTTAAGTTGAACAGTCCTTTAGAAGATAGATTGCACCGTAGCCAACTTTAGCCTTTTTCTAATTAGCAAGATTCAAATTATGAAGATTTAATTGCCATTTGGATTAAATTCTGTCCCTCAGCAATCAAGTCAATTCAGTTTAACTTTATTCAACACACATGGCGTAGCCAGGGCCATTGCATAGCGCTGAAACGATTTGAACAAACACAGAATCCAAGGTTGCAGATGTGGTTATCCTGGAGAGATGTCAGGAGGAGTGAAGTTGCGAGAAAACCAAGAAGTCAATCCAAAGTCTACAGATCCAGATGAGGCTGAAGGAAGACTCCTGATGAGCCAGCAGGACTCTGGATACCACCTCTGGGTTCTGGGGAGACTGAACAGACTCTACATAGGAGGATGGGAGGGCAACTGAGGGTGGGTACTCGGCATTACAGTGAGGACTCCTCGCTGGGGACAGGCTATACCCACAGCCATAGTCCCTGGACAGGAAGTTCTCAAGTCCTTGGATGGTGCCAAGGAAGGTGTTAGAACCCAGAGAGCTTCATCACACAGCTGGCATGGCTTCACCTTCTCGGTAGCTAGCTCCATATGTAAAAATCTCAGAAAGGTGGCTCGAGGTGACTTCTTTTCTGTCCTCAGAACTGTCTAGGATCCATGTCTGACAGGTCTTTGCACCCCACAGGACTTGGGACCAGACACACAGAATAGGAGACTTCAAGGCAGCCTCATGGCACTCCTCTGCCAGTCTGGAGGGGGACTGGGCACTTCCTCTTGGAGCCCACATTCTGCCCTCCCTCCTCACCATCTTTAGTCCCCGTATGGTTTGTGAATGATGAGCATGTATTAGTTAGAAAATCATGGAAAAAAAGTTTAAGAAAGAAAAATATAGGTCGTAGTGCAAATAATGAGACACAATGAGCAGGCCAGGCCTATTAAGAATGCTGTTTGACCTGAGGGTCAATTAGGTTCATGTTCAATATTTTTCTGGAGAGGGCAAGAAAACTTGCAAGTATTAACTCCGTCCCCAGCTTTCTTTATTTAGCCAAACCTCTTCATCCTTCGTCATTTTAACCACTCTGCATTCCTGACCCACATTTGCTGTGAGAACAATGAAAAATGAGGCCCTGAGTAGATGATCCTGCCTCAGCTGGGAAGCTGGGAGGTGTCTGGCCCTGAGTCTGGCTTGGGTCCACCCCTTTCTGCCTGTTCTGTCCCTATTTCCCAAGAAGGAAGCCTTCTCCAGAGAAGGAGGCAACAATTTCTCCTCTCATGTAATTGGCTGTACTCCGGCAAGGGCCAGTCTAGTGGTAACGAGGGAGTTTTGTAATTGTGATAATGCTAACTGCACCCCCAACCCACTCGCCCCTTCTGCCAGGAGATGGGCAGCCTGATGGCTGGAATACAGAAAATGCGTTATAGGAGTGGCTCCTCTTACCCTCTGCAAGGAGCCCTTGGGGAGGAGAATGTCTGCAGCTGTCTTCCCACCCCCCCTTTCAGAGACCCATCAGAAACCAGGGAATCCTGCTCTAGGTCATCCAGGTATTGGGCCATAGCCCTTGTCGAGCCCCAGCTGAGGCTCCCTGGTCTTTTTCCTTAACTTTGGAATAGCTCAGCCCTACCCAAGCAGATTCTCCCAGCTGGGCATCCTGGCCTGAGAGTGCTGAGAGAAATTTAAAAAGACACAAATAAATGGAGAGGTATATTGTATTCATAAATTGGGAGACTCAATGTTTTTAAGATGTTATTTTCCCCCAAAATTGGTCTACAAATTAAATCCCAAATACTTTCCCTTTCTGGCCCATGTGCAATAACCTGACCCCTGACCTTGAGTCACAGCTCCCGTGTCTTTGTCCTTACCATGCTCCTTCTCTGACTTAGTCCTGGCTTCTCAGCTCCCACTCTGACCCCTAGTGTGGAGTCAATCAGCCACAGCCCTAGCCCTACCCAAGGCAGAGGTTCCTAGGCACATGGGATCTGTGGGCAGAAGGTGGATGGAGGACGAGAGGCTCTTGCTGTTCTTTCCCTGCAGGCAGCCCTGCCTCAACAAAGCCTCTTGGGGCTCCACAAGTCTGGACTCACCCACAAGATGGCACCTGGCACTTTGGGAGCAAATTCCTTGGGAAGAACTTAAGGGGTTGCATAGCAATCAGACCACAGCACACTGCAAGAACATTGACAGTGGAAAATAAAGTTAAGTTTGATGGTTAGACATAACTGAAAAAGTTGCGCATTGACAATTTCTACAAGGAATTCCCAAAACACAGTTCTGGTTTAACCTTGTGGCAAGCTCCAGGCAAAGACTTTAGGCCTGTTGGATATTTTCTTGACTCCCCAAAACTCAGCCAGGTTCTCATAGGCTGGTAGCAACAGTGGAAGGGTGGGAGAAGCTGCTTTTCAAGGGGCTAATGTCTCCTCAGGGCAAGTTCCAACCCAGACTTCTTAAGGTTCGGTGGAACTGAACCCAACTGAGGGAGCCTGCACACACTTGGGGGAGCCTACACCCAATTGGGGCCCTGGTGGTGCAGTGGTTAAGAGCTCTGGCATGCTATGGTTGCTAACCAAAAGGTTGGCAGTTCAAATCCACCAGCCGCTCCTTGGAAACACTATGCAGCAGTCTACTCTGTCCTATAGGGTTGCTAAGAGTTGGAATCCACTTGATGGCGATGGGTTTGGTTTTTTGGGGTGCAGGAAGGGATTTTAGGAGTGATCCCAGAGCCTAACCAGGGCAGACCACCCCACTCATCTGGGGTGCAGGTTACCATTGACTTTTCCAGTTAGCATTCTTGGAACTGGGATGACTCTGTTAGTGCTACACCCCAAGTTCCTTGCTTCTTTGTCTTTGATGGAATTCCTTGAACATCTCTTTGCTCCTTTGAATTTGCTGGGCTCCTGGAGACTGCTGGAAATCAGAGCTTCAGTCACATGAGGGTGTCCTATGGAACTCCTTTCCCTGAAGTGGTACAGTGGGATGAGCCTGGGTAAGGCTCAGAAATCCTGGCGGCCCTAATTCACTAGCCAAAGATCTTGGATAGGACAAGGCCCTTCTTCATGACTTAGA